TGTCAGTACATTTTAGCAGCTTAACCCCTTGAAAGAGCCCGCGAGTACAGAGCCGCTACACCCGTGTGAAAGGGGATTGAAGGCTGGAGCTGGGGGGTGGAGGGGGGTACGCTATACCCATCGAGCTTACAGCAGAGAGGGTCTGTTTCTCCTTCAGCCTTTAATTTTAAATAAATAAATAAAATAAAACACGAGGGAGAAAAGCATGCGGTTGAAACACTATCCCTGCGAGTTACATCCAAGGACTGCAGGGAGATGGCTGTTGCATGGGCACTTCAGCCAGGAGGTTTCAGCTCAGCTGATCACCCCCCTCCTGACCCCAGAGCTGGGCACCCTCAGCCCATCCCCACCACTCAGCGAGCAAGGTCCGCACCGCAGGCGAGTGTGCAGGTGAGGGAGCGTCCACGCTCAGCAGAGAGCCGGGTCCCCTCCACACACCCACCGTGTTGCCCAGGGCTGGGGCCGTGCGCCTCCCTTCCATGCACAGGCTTCTTCTCCAGACACCCCCAAAAACCCTCCTGGTTAGAAAATGCTGCCACGAGGAACCTTCTCACAGGAATTGGAGCGGAGGGGTCAAATCGAAGCCAAAGGGGAGTGGTGGCCGGGGCAGAGCTCCGGGAAGAACTGGCATTAGGGCGAGACTCCCGCATTTCCAAAGGAAATAGCTCCAGTTTTATAACCGGGGAATTTTCTGTGGAAGAAAAAAAAAAAAAAAATAGAGGGACTTGAAAGTTAAAGTCCAGCAGAAATAATAATTGACGTGGCTTCTCTTACATATCCTTTTCTGTCCCGTAAACAGTGAATTAATCTTCACGGGCTTAGAAAGAGATGTACTACATATTGGACGCAACATTTCCTTTTTTGGTAGAACTGTATATCCACGGCATTAAAAAAAATTATAACATAAATCCTAAGTTTGTGCACAGAGCTTTATTCTGCACCCGTGACAAATGACTGAATGTTAAACCTAGACCCTCAAACATTTTAAAAGCGTGCTTCTTTTGGTGTTAGCCCTTTGCTCAGAAATGCAAAAAGATAAAACGTTTATTTTCTTCCCTGCTACATTTTCATCCCTGATCACAACGCAAAGTAAACTCGGCTTTGACCTAAGGAACACCTCAACGCATTAAAATTTCAACAGGCAATGTCAGTGTTACATTAAACGAGAACTCCTCCACTTCGCTGCAGAGCTGGGATTTGAATAAAACGTTCAATGTTAACAAACAATACACACGTTTGGCACTTTGTGTATTAAATGGATCAAAGAGATTTGATAAGGCACAATACTCCATTTGTACAGACCTGATTGAGCTAATATAATATCAGCAAATTTTACAGCGAAATGAATCTGTTTCTTTTCTTTGTGTTTAAAACCAGCACAGATTACAAATTTTAATGATCTGAAAATGTTTGGTATACAAAATCATGCTTATTTCAGTATTAGCAAAAACACAAGAAATTTTTCAACACAAACACCCAGCTGTGTCTATTTTAAAAGCAGTTCAATGACAGCTTGCACTTATGAGCATGCAATCAGCTAATTTCGCTTTTTTTTTTCTTCTGTGTTAATCAACACTTTCCTTCCTGCATATCAGAGTACAAATAGTATAGTTACTCCACATCAGTAAATGTTTACGTAACCTGTCCTTTCACAAGAATCCGGTTACACCGAATCATTACATGCTAGACCGAGTAGGAAAATGCACTGGGCCCAGCCACCCTAATGGGATCCTAGTGCACCATAATGACACATATTAGTTAATGATCATCATAATCATAATAATATGCAGGAATCTTACCTTTCCTCTTACCCCTTGCCACGGTAGAGTCAAGTCGTATCCTCCACATTGCACTCTTCTTCAAGAATTCCCATACATTGACTTCAGTGTTGAGCAATGAAATAATCTCGAACTGACGTGATTTTTTTTAACCGCATTTCTAAAAAAAAAAAAAAAAAAAAAAAAAGTAAAAAAATAAACGTGGTTGATCATTGACTTTTATCTCTTTTTTTGTCAGTAGCAACCTGTTATGAAATTGGATAAATAAATACAATTGTGGTAAGGTCATTCGAGGTTAATCCAATGCACAGAGTTCATGCCATTCCCAATTGCAATTGTTTATTACCGGTCCGTTGTAATTGTTCTCGTTATTTACTCTCTTTCTCACACTCGCTCTCCCTCCCTCCCTCACGCGCACACATATATACACAAACACATATATAAACCGCACATCTACACGCAACCACGTTTGCTGCACCGAGCTCTAACCTGAATTTCCCCGGGATAAATTGTTTTAGCTGGGGTTGAGCTGCACGTATTATTTCTACTGAACGGATTTGGTTTGGCTTTTTTTATTTTCCCTACTTTTTAGACGTAAACTTTCGGTAGCTTAACGCGGCGCTATAGGTTGCCTTTGCCTGCAGCCTGGGTTGGAAGGCGATCGGCACGCTCTCTATCCGCTACATTTCCCCTTCTACTTCCCCAGTAAGAAAGCTGCGCCATTTATTTCGCTTTGTTTCAGGGTTGATTTCCTTCCCCCCCTCCCTCTCTCCCCCCCGTAAGAATCGACGTGATGTGGACGATTAACACCCGGCTCCCGGGGTCCGGGCTTGATGCACATGTGTTTTCCTTAAGGATATGTGTTTACCATTGGAAATGGGAAGTCTGACTATGATGCTACCAAAGGAAAGGAGGACTGCAGGAAAATTAGGTCAGTTGGGTATTATTTTATACCACATGGGAATTAAAGAGACAGAAGCAATGGTAGTTAGATTAATCTGACCAAGCAAGGACATTTAACATGTATGCACATAAAGTTAGATAGGATGAATTCTACTGCAGTGACTTAAAATAGGCTTTTTAGAAGACAGATTTTTTCTTGGACTTGGACATCTTGATCATGCTTGAGTTGTACTCCAAGACCTTATGTAGAAGAATGATGATATTATAAACTTTTTATTATTAACTAAGTGCTAAAGCAGGGTGAAAAGAAAGGATCTGAAAAGCATTAAGGATGTTGGAGCACTAATATAAAGCACGGGAAAGACTTGCTATGTTTTTAAAATCCAAGGCCATTTCAATGGAAAAGAAAAATCAAAAAAATTCTTGACATGATTTGTTAAAAAAGAGAAATACAGTAGTTGGACTTTATTTTTATCAGAGAACAAATACAAATAAAGGAATAAAATAGATTACCCGGCATTTGCAACTAGTTATAAAGACTCAAGGGAAAGCTCAATGCAGTAAGTGACTAGTGCCACTTAATTAATATCTGTGCCAGTAATTCCTTCTGTTAGGCATCAAAATTTATTTCTGCCATCAAACTCCAAATGAGGAGTTCTCTGCTCTTTCCTTGGATTCAAAAGCTTCAGATGTAATGAAAGAAAAATGAAGGATTTCTCTTCCTCAGGCTCTAAGAATGGTAGCATTAGAACAGTAAGTATAGTTTGTCCTGAGGCAGCCCCTGTACCTTATTATATGAAGCTAAGTATTCACTTTTTACAGTAAAATGATAGCAATTGCCTTCTTACTTCTGAGCCTGAACTTTGGACTTCATTAAGATGGATGGAAGTATGTTGTACAAATTAAACAAAGGAATGTGTACACCTTTGAATTTTTTGTTAATCAGATCTCACACAGACTCTTCTCAGGGAAGATTCCTTTTTTATTCTGTGTGATACAGTTAATTTCTTCTCTTATGGTCTAATTCAAAGACAGGGAGTATTTTCATTGACTCTAGGCATGTTAGTGCACAGAAAAATGGGTGATGTATATGAGCAAATCTGTTACAGGAGAATGAAGTCCCTGCATATGTTACCATATTTATACCTTAGCATATCTACTTACAAATGCAAAGATTTCTCAGAATTCTTTATTGACAGGAAAGTAGGAATCTGCCTTGAAAAATAGTACCATGAATCATCTAAAATTAAGCAGAAAACAAGTACATGGTCTCAGTGATTTCAGAAGTCACAGCAAGGTATAAGGTTTTGCTAAAAGGGAAAAGTCTAATAAAAAACCTGAATACTTTAAGTCAATAAATTACTCATTACAAAAGAATTTGACTAGGATGAACATCTTTTTTTTTGTTTTTTTTTTTTTTTTTTTTTTTTTTTTTTTTTTTTTTTTTTTTTTTGTGTGTGTTTGTGTGTTGGTTTTTTTTTGTTGTTGTTGGGTTTTCAGAGGGTTTTTTTCCCCTTTTTTCCTCCTTTTTTTTTTTTTTCCTCCGCTCTGACTCGGTTTGATTTTATCTGATTGGTGATTATTATTACTATTATTTTTTTCCCTCCCCGGCGGTTCCTGT